AGGAGACAGAGTGGAATTCTTTGAAAAGCATACACTTCTTGTGACGGCTAGGATACCATGGAGTTCTAGACTAGATAGGGTCTCAAGACCCCAGTTTCAAAGTGCTCCATTAAAAACTGTCACTGTAGGTGAACCCTTGGTACCAGCGAACTTAAAATCACAAATGTAAATGTCACTCTGACGTACCTAAGCTATAAAGTTATGGTCCAGATGAAAGAGCCTATAGTTACTACTAAATGTCTCTTTTTAGATGACGTTAAGTGTGAAAATAAATTTCTTACAGATGGGTCGACCCTCCACATATATTTGTGTACCCTCTGGAGTCCAACTTTTCTGGGAAAATCCTAGGGTGATGGTTAAGAATTTCTTCGCCAGGATCAGGCAAACCGAGGTGGGAATCCTGGCTAATTTCTATTAGCTTCATGTCCGTGAATAAAACCTGATGAGTAGCCTCTGTATCGTGCTCTTGGGTTGTCGGAAAAGTCATGACGCATTTTTGCAGTGAAAAACATAGAAAAATATGTCATGACTTTTCCGACAGCCCATTATTTCCTCCTTGTAAAATGGGGAATATGATAACGCCTGCATCAAAGGGCGGTGGAAGGGTTAACTGAGACAGTGCACATGGCAGGCTTAGCATTCTGCCGTGCACGGAGGGTAGCTAGTGCTGGGTGTTGATGCGAACAACCTGGATGAGAAGAATATTTGATTTGTTTAGGAGAGCAGATGAAAATAAGGTCAGGGTGTGAGAAGTGCGGCTAACTTAGCACTATATGGCTGAGGATATATCTTTAGAGTTGGGAAGAGTGCTCAGAGAAGAAGAGAAAGTCGACGTGATACCAGAAAAGGGATGCTGGCAAATGGAAAACAATCCTTATCTCCGTTTGTGTGTGTGTTTTCCCCAAGTTCATCTTGACCTTGTAGAATAAGATACCTATAAAAAGCTGACTCTGTCCCAAGGACAGAGAGGGGACCCAGCATGTGAATGTGTTCTCCAGGACAGTCTGCATTTATTGGGGAGCACTGATTCCCGGCAATGGATGGAGAGGCCAGGAGTGTGGTGAAGGGGACGGAAAAAGCATCACGTCTACACTTTAATTTTATGGAAGTAAAATTTTGGCTTGTGGGGAGATGTGGAATATATGGGGATTCTCACCCCCCTCTTTCTCCCAGGAGGACGACATGTCAAACAGATTTTTATGTTCATCAAAAAGTAACCTGAGTTTAAACAGTTGAGAAATAACTACCATAGACCAGAGGTTTGCAAATGGTGGCCACATCTGGCCCACTGCCTGAGTTTTAAATAAAGTTTTATTGGAAGAGAGCCACACTATTCACTTAGATACATGTATCCTATCGCTGCTTTCCTGCTACAACTGCAGAATTCAGTAGTTGCAACAAAGACCTTTGCCATCAAAGACTAAAATATTTACCACCTGGCCCTCTACAGAAAACATTTGCTGACTCTTGCAATAGACCATGAAGAGCTAAAATGGTCACAGCTTACTTAGCTTTCCTCTTTTCTTGAGCTTACAAGGAGGCAGTATATCATTTCCTCTCAACAGGAATTTTGTGACCAAAATTTGCTTTCTGTTATCTTCAGAACTGTCCGCACGCCCTCCAGAAGTCTCATGTGTGACTCTGCTGTTCAAAGCAGCGATGGGCTGCTAATAAGTTTAGGAACTCTAAGCAAATCCTTAATTGTTTCAGCTGCTTCTTGGCACTGGAAATCTTGGTGAACTTACTAGGATATTCTTTGTTAGGAAAAGAAGCTAGTAAAAATGTCAGGGATTTGAAACCAGAGCTAAGCACTTATTAAGGATATCAAGTTTTAAAGAAAGAAACGACAGTGAAAAAATAGTGCAAGTCATGTAAGGGTTGGTGACAGTCTAAGGCTGGAAATGAGGTATAATAAAGTCACCACCACCACCACCAACAACAAAATACACACCAAAGGAGATTTTCATGGAGACTAGTTAGACTGGTCTACACGTTACCATGTTCACAGAGTCTTCCTGTTTCATTTTCTCTAAACAAAACTAAGATATTTAGGATAAGTTTTTAATCCTTTAGTACCACATGTCTTTTCTAGTGTTCTTAGGACAGAAAGTTGATGGCAGTTGAAATTGGGAGTTTACTGAGTAGATTTACGGTTTACCTTCAGTGTGCCGCTCAAATCCACGGTGGCATCACACATGGCCACCGAGGCCACTTGTCAATAGGCTTTTTTGGACATAAGCCAGGCAGATACCGGTTCACATGAGACGAAGATGAAAATATTTTTGAAAAAGTTAGAAATGCTATCATCCAAGATTGGGTTTGAAAGTTGAGGCATAATTAGGATAGTTAAAATATCTAACTCAGTGAAAATAATTTATTTTTTCAGTAGTGGGCATATTTCTTGCATACCTTTAGCTTTCTCAATTTCTAACACATTTTCAGGGACATGTACAAAAGAAAGTGGTTGCCACCAAAAGAATGACAGTGAGAACACTATTTTCCACATCTTTATTTGAACGATCAGAGTGACAGTCATTTCCACTATAATTACAGTCCTCTCTCTGGTGGTGGTGAAATTTTAAGGGAACCGTTTGTCTCATCGGTTATTCAGACACGTTTGATGTTGGTAAGACTTCTTTTTGCCGTCCACAGTGCTGAGAATGTTAATTTTCACGACTGGATCTCCATCCTGAAAAGGATTTTGTGATTGAACTCTTAGCTATGGTTCTTGGAGCTTGACTTCTTACGGTTACTTGGTCTAGTGATTAATTAGGCTGTGGTCTGACAGCAGAGGTAGGACTGGTGAAGAGTGTAGATAACTGTTATTAGAGTAGGCTGTAATTTTAAGATCTTGGCTAAATATCTCTACATTTTACCATTTGAATATAGAGATACGTTTAAATTATTTAATTATTTTGAGATAATTAGAGATTCACCTCCAGTTGTAAGAAATATCACACAGGTTGTCAGGTAGGCACTTGTCTTATTAGGGAGACCACTGCATGGATGGTGTAGATGCTTCACCACTGCACTGTACACCTGAAGCTGAACTGAATGACAATGAATGTCACCTATAATCAAATATCTATACAGTCACGGGATGTGGAGTAGAGCATAGTGAATAGAGTCATTGGAATTGTAACAGCTACATACGATATCACAGGGGTTGTAAATTGGGGGAGGGAGGTTATCACTCTGTGAGGGGTGTAAATGTCTATTACATTGTTTTGTACACCTGAAACTACTACTAATAATTTTTTAAAAAAGAAATATCACACAAAGATCCTGAACCTGTACCCAGTTTCCTTGGTGATAACAGCTTCAAAACTACAGTGCAATATTATAACCAATTGACATTTACACAGTCAAGACACAGGACAATTCTGTTGGGTTTGGCTTCCCCCACCCCCCCTCCCCCACTCAGCATAACTCTCTGAAGACGCATTCAAATTGTTTCAGTATTGTAGTTCATTGGTTTTTAAAGCTAAAGTAGTATTTTCTGATATGGGTGTAATACAGCTGGTTTAACCACTCAGCCATTGAAGGATATTTGGGTTGGTTCCAGTTTTGCACTGATAACAAATAAAGCTACTGTGAACATTCATGTACAGGTTTTTTGTGTGTGGGTGGGGAAGTTTGCATTTTTCTGAGATTGGTTCCTAAGAGTGCAACTGCTGGTCATATGTTGCTTATGTAGTTTTTTTAAGAAGCTGCCAAACTGTGTTTCAGAGTGGCTATGCCGTTTTACATGTCCACCAGCAATGTATGAGTGACCCAATGTCTCGGCAGCTCTGTCAGTGTTTGATGGCATTGTTGTTGTTGTTATTATTATTATTATTATTATTTTATTTCAGCCAGTCTAATAGGTGTGTGGTGGTAGCTCATTGTGGTTTTAATTGACGTTTCCCTGACGGCTAATGCTGTTAAACATCTTTTCATGTGCTTCTCAGTCATCTGTATATCCTCTTTGGTGAAATGTCTGTCCCTTTCTTTTTGTCCATTTTGTAATTGGATTGTTGGGTTTTTTACTGTTCAGATTTGAGAGATCTTTATATATTCTAGATACTAATCCTTTGTCAGATATGTGCATTTGCAAATATTTTCTCCCAGTCTGTCTCTGTCTTGTCTTTTTACCCTCTTAACACGGTTTTTCACATAGCAGAAGTTTTAAGTTTCGATGAGGTACAATTGGCAAGTTTTCTCCTTTATGGATTGTGCTTTTGTTATGAAGTCTAAGAACTCTTTGTTTAGATCATCATCCCAAACATTTTCTCCTTTGTTTTTCCCTAAAAAGTTTTATAGTTTTGTTTTATATTTAAGTCCATTTGGATTTAATTTTTGTATAAGATGGGTGTTTTAGGTTAAAGTGTTTGTTTTTTCCCTAATGACATTCAATAGTTCCAGCATCATTTGTTTAAAAGGCTACCCTTTCTCCATTGAATTCCTTTTCTACTTTTGTCTCCATGTTATAGCCCTTGATAAATTCAATGACTGTGAGAGATGAAAGCCAACAGAATTGATTTTAATTACTATATTGTTTTACTGATACCTCTGGATATTTAAGAAACGATACACCGAGACTGTCTCTCAAACTAGCAAGGAAGTCTTTAGAATATCCCAGATCAATGATTTCCATATTTAATTGCATTTGAAATCAGAGCATGTGCCATGTATGCCTATATTTTTTGTACTGATTTGAGATTTTTATCTCTGGGAGTTTTTCTGAAATGTTTCTCCTGATCTTGTAAACAAAACATGAAGAAATTTGCCTTCAAATACTTATTTTTTCTTTTGATTCCTGTCATTGTCTGAACAACATAATACACCCATTGTGGAAGCAATTTTGTTTTTAATTTTATTTCCCAAAGCAATATCACATTGATGGCTTGCGAATATTTTACAGGTGAAGTCATAAAAAAGAAAACATTTAAATGCAAATGTCAGTACATAATATCTGAGTTGGTAGTGATGCTGAGTGCAGTCTTTGTATATCCTTCCAGATTTATCAACGATGCTGGTTAGTATTCAAGAAAGCCTCAAGCAAAGGTCCGAAGAGACTGGAGAAATTTTCCGATGAACGTGCTGCGTATTTTAGGTGTTATCACAAGGTAAGACTCGATTGCTGTTGCTTTCCAGAAATTTATTCACAGTAGGTGACTCAAGTTGGTTAAGTCTGAAAACTCATGTAGATTAGTTAACACAGGTATGAACAATACTTTTTCCGAGGACCAAACGTCTCTAAAATAATATCTGCTTGCCAATTGTTTAAAATAATTGACTAATATAAAGTTACTCTTCTGGTTTCCAGTCTCTAGTGTAGAACTTACCACGTTGTTTTGTAAATTTTAGTTTGCATAATAGACACCACTTCCAACCTCAAAGCTCCTTGAGGGTAAGAATTGGATCTCCTGTGTCTAGCACTGTGGCTGGTGCAGAATAGACCCTCATCAGAGCCTGGAATACGGGGAGAGGACAGGGGAGGCTGGGGAGAGCCGGGAAGAAGCTGGAAAACTGGTGATTGATGGAGGAGGAGGAAGTGCCACCTATTAGTTTATGCCTTTAAGTTTTGTAACTAAATGCAATTCAGACTTTCAGTTTCCTTAGTAGTAGTGAGATTTCCTCACTAAAAAATAGTAATTGTGTGTGAAAATATATGATTTAGGAGTGGAAAGTTAAGGTAAATACGAGGTATACTTACTAATGGGATTCACAAATTAGGCCCGTCTTTCCCTCAACATGGCAATGTGTTTTTCTTGGTTTTTGGGAATGGGCAGCCCATGTATTTTCTCTTTTCATGAAAATGTGTAAAAGCACATGGTTAACGCTTCTTTTCCCCCAAGGCTCTAGCTATTCTCCTAGTGTGAAAATACTACTCTTTTGGCTATGGAGGAACCATGCTTATTTTTATGACAGAACATTTTAATTGTTTTGGTTTTCCATATTGAAGATTCTTATCCTCGTTTGGTGAGAATTTACAAGGGCTGGGGCTACTTGCCATTTAAAATTTTATGCGAAACCACTAGGTCCATGAGCACAGAAATTTGACCAGGTGAGAGAAAGTCATTCATCTTCCCTTTTGTGCCAATTTTCCAAAAGTGGTGACTTTACAACATCTTATTAAGGCTCTATGTTGACACCTTGGTTTAGACAATACATCACCATGGTAATTTGTTTTAGCAGCTGAACGGAGTAAGACACCATCAGAGTCTGGTTCTGTCTGGTCCTTGTGTGTGTCAGTCTGTCCTTCCTCGTTTTGGTAGAGTTCCAGATACATCCAGAAATACCTGATTCTTCACAATACCTGCCTTTCTGAATGTAGAAAAACAAATAGGCCATGCTTTGCTTACAGACCTTTACATACCTACGAGAAGAAAGAGGACAAGCAAATACTTTCTAGAAACTCCCCAAACCCAGTTCATGAGAAAATGGTTTGGCTCTGTGTTCAGTACGCACAGAGACTCTCAACACATCGCACAACTTCTGTTGCTTCGCTGTGGTCCAGGGCACTGGGCTACCTACTTCTCGGCCCTCTAGAACCTATTCAAAACACCTATATCATACTGTGATACTCCGCCTCAAAACCCTCAGCCGAGTCCTCGTACTGGCCTACACATGCCCATGATCGGACTCCCTGTGGCCTGTTTAATCCCATCCACTCAGTTTCCCCCACCCCACCCGACTCTGCTGCAGGTACCCTGGTCTCATTTCCCCCTGAGCATGTCAAGCACATTCCTACCTTTGAACTGTTTTTCCCTTTCCTTGGAATGCTCTCCCTCTAAATATCCACATAGCTCAGGTCTTAGATTCCTCCCCTAAGGCCATTTCTTGACCCCACTATTTAAAATTGAATCTTTGACACTCCTCTCCCCCCAACTCCCTTTGTTTTTCTCTTTAGTGTTTATCTCTGCATATATATTTATTTGGTTGTTTCTTATTGTCTTGGCCACACAAACACCATAAAATAAGGTCCACAAGGGCAGAGATTTTTTTTCAGGGGGAGGCATGGTTCACTATTCGTTAGCAGTGCCTAACACATAGTAGGCACTTTTTACACTATCGGTTGAAAAGCAATGGATATTATCAACAGAAGACAAGGAATACATATAGATGTCTACGTGTCATACTTTTATTTAGCTTACCAGAAGAAACATGTCCTTGAGACATCTGAAGCCAGGAAAAGGAATTTTGATTTGGAGGCAGTGGAGGATGTTGGGGGCAGAGAAATCCAGGACTGGAAGTTTTATGAGGATTAGACTCAAATGTAAAAACCAAAGTGGACTGAAAAGCTTCCCCCTTGGAAGTGAAACAAGTGAGGGGACATTGAGGACAAACTTGCCCTCTTCTAGATTGCTACCTGCTGGCTTTGGAATTTAATATGCAAATCTTTAGGGAACGTGGCTGAGCCACATTCTCTTTCATCTCTAATAATCATTAACTAAAGCTCAAAGCATTAGAGTGGAAGAATTGTCAACGTTAAGCCTCCAAGCCCTTGATGAGCTCCTGTAACTGATTCACCCCCTTCCTCTTCTAGAGCTGATGCATTTAGTATTAACCTCCGGGGTGCATATAAAAAGCAAGACTCACTCAGAGATATGCATTTTTTATCTAAATGCTGTTTAATTTATGAATCTTGATAATAAAATAACCGAGGTTGTAGGTAGCACATCGTGGCCAGATTTCAGAGTGTATTCAGCTATAAATCAATTTCCAAAAGAAATGAGGGCCTGTCCGTTCTGCTCTTTGGTCAATACAGAGATGATGGCACACAAGCACACGTATCTCGCCTGTGGGGAGTCTGTACCATTTATGAGAACACTGTGCTGTTTCATTTCATTTTAAAAGGGTTTAAAAAAAAAAGCCAATTTTGCATAGCTAATTCTTTTTAGAAGTTTTAAAACAAGACATTGGCTGGAGAATTTTAAAACTTGGTGCTTTCCTCACTGCATGTGTAGCTAAAGGTGCTCTCAGACAAAAATTGGAAAATAAATATATGAATAATGCACATACAGAACAATTCATTTTTCAGGAAGTGCTCCTCAAGGACCCACAGCTGTCAGAAGCGGCTGTGAATTTGATTAACATTAACTGCAACAATATTAAGACTCCAGTGGCCTCACGTAGAGTTCCTCACCTTCTTGTCAAACTCAAGTTCACTGTTTTCATTCAGGAAATCAAAGTTGCTCACACTTACCAGAAGGGGTTGGGCATTTCTACGCATAGTTTTACTTTCTTGGTAATGAGTAACAATTGGGAGGAAATCTAAGTGGAAAGATTTTCTAGTTGTTTGAGACCAAGGCAAATGGTGGGGCGGAAGTATGTACGCTGGATCGGAAGTTGGGAAACCTGCTTTCTAGCCCTGGCGTTGTCACTGTATGTGTCCTGCGAATGGCTTAACTTCTGGGTAAAGGTGACCTCCAAGGCAAGTCCCAGTGCAGCTTCTCCTGCCATCATCACACAGTGCTGAGTCCATAGGATTCATTTCACCTTGGATCAAAAAGACGGTTCCAACAAGTTCTCTAACATAGTGTTTCCTAAAATGTGCGCTAGAGAGCGTGGGAAAGGAGAGCTCTGGGAGGACCAGGGTTCTGTGGTCAAGGAAGTTTGGGAACTGCAACCTTTTCATCCTCATTCTTGAGATTCCTAGCCCGCTGTAGCTCATCACAGCCTGGAGGAGTCCTACAGTTCAGAAACCTGAGTAATTTTAATTCAGCATTTCCAAAACTGACTGGGCCACAGAGCCATCATTTTTTTTTTTTAATTATGTATTCCGTGGACAACTAGATTTAATTCTAAGGAACACAGTTTTGTATATGCTGCTTTTGTGTGTTACCTTGTTTATGAAATGTGCACTTGCCCCATTGTTATTTCAACAGTGAGCAACTAGGATGGATTAACCATTCCTATTTCACTGAAATCATAGGGTCAACGTGTGTCTCGTATGAATAAATGTGAATGTATTTGAAAAACGGAAGACTCTCTAACTGCAAGGAATGGTTGCCATTATTATTCTTGTCATTCTGCCAAGCCCCTTTAGGCTTATTTGTTTTGTCATTCTATCCTTCCTTAGTGACTAGGTCACCCTTGCATCTCCCGAGATCAGTCACAGACCTTGTTCTTGGTTTCTGCAAAAATAGGATTCCAGGTTCTTCATAGTGAGCTAATGTCCTAAAAATGATTTCTCTGGCATTTCTGCCCACTTATCGCTTCTGTGTGTGTGTGCCTGTGTCATAACTTTTCCCAGTGACTCACTCTTTTTTTATGTAGTTTCTCCTTCTGAAACATTTCCTCTTCTGATGTGGCTGTCGACAATATGTCTTTTCAAAATCTTAAAATACGTCATAGTCTCTTTTTTCTGTAGTTTCAGTACTTTGAAGTCATCCTCTCCTTATGCAAGAAACTGTCTACCAGGCCCTGTTCCGGAAGTTGCCCTCACTTATGCCAATGAGGACATGACTCTTCACAGCCCCATAAATTAAATTATAGCTTATTACTCAGATGCTTTCCCCAAATGGTAAATGCTCCACGCTTCTATTTCTAAGGCAGAGGTAGAGTGGGTAGAAGGCGTGAACGGTAGTACCCAGACCACATTTTTCTGATCTAAGTACTTGTACTAATAAGGAGGTATATAGGTATGCACCAGTGTGCCAAGGCTCCCAAAACATGTTCGAGACTGAATTCACTATCTTTCCTACCCAGCTTGGTTCCATTCTGGGATTCTCTGTCGCAGTGTATGGCACCAGTATCTATTCTCTCGTTCAAGTCAGCAGCCAAGGTGTTATCCGTGCCGCTCCGTCTTCTTTAGCCCCTCCCTTGACCAGTCCATCACCAGGTTTGCACATGCTCTCCCCGCGTGGGTACCCTTCCTTCTCTGATCCATGTGGCAGACGTTTATTGATCCCTCAAAATCTCTGCTGTGTCTTCCTTCACCTTCCCTGTGATTCTCCCCGACTTACCCCGAGTTAGTCCATTTCCTGGACCCCTTCTGCACGGATGTGCTGCTCATGCTGACCGTAGTGACTTCCTATCATGTGGGTGGCTGGTACTGTGTGATCGGTGCTGATCTCTTGCTAATACTTCTTCCTTGGTTATGGATAGCTGATTTTTAGTT